TCAGCAGATACCACAGTGAGAATCCAACAGGCGTGAAATCCTGTAAGTTTGGAGCAAAAATTAGAAATCTGTTCATTTTTAAATTGAATCTTTATTATTATATTATACAGGTTGTCTCATTTAGATCCAAGACCTGTTAAAGCTAAACAATGTAAAGAGAAGTAAAGATAATTTCAATGAGAATCCCTCCCGAACTCAGTGTTTGCAGCGTCAGCTGACAGGAAATCAGAAATTTCCTTTAAAACCCAGAATGGGAGTCTATTCACACATTGTTACCGGTACTTAAGTCAACAGAATCACAGCCAAGCTAAACCAACAGCTCTCCATGCAAATGTTCCTAGTTTCCTCTGTGGTTTGATTAAAAAAACCCTATCATAGACAAGACAAGGAATGAAAAAAACTGTCCTCCTGTTTGCTTTCTCTTCTGTGTCTTAAGGGTTGGAAACATTTCTGGAACAAAGTCTGCAAAGAATGTTTCTTCAGCAGGGTGGAGACATTCTGTAAAATATGACAAGATTCTTTGTCATGTGAAGAAAAACTGAAGCTGGAAAACTGAAATCATGAGCACTTTTCCACAAAGGCTGGATGTTTAAGGTGGTTTTCCTGCTAAAGTTCGTCCACGTCTAAAGCTCCCCTTCACACATAAGTCACACTAAGTCACATTATCAGGATGAACAACACTTAACCCCTATCTCACGTGAAAATGTGTCCCAGTAATTTGAAAACAATTAACCCTGGCAATGGTGTATTGGATGAACCTTTTATTACCTTCAGGGGGCAGTAATGCAAAAGGATAAAGCTTTAACTGATCAGGCCAAAGAATTTAAACATGTCACATATCGAGGACATGTGAAGAAGTCATGTATTTGCAAGAAAAATCCCTATTGGTTGCCCTAAAAAGTGCAAAATGACACTATCGCCTAATTTGCTCATTTCATGTCATCCATCTGCAGGAGATTCTTTTTTTTTTGGTTTGTCTGTTAAAACAGGACAGAGATATTTGGCTAGCTGGAAGGAAAAAATAGTTTATGAAGACTTTTACAGAAACAAGTAAAGAAAAATACATTAAAAATATAATTCAGCCATATAGTTCCAAACTACATATCATTTACTGGTACAAATGCCCCATCAGCTGTTCGCCAACTGCAAAAAAATAAAATAAAAAATTGTGTAAAGACACATGGAGACATGAGGAGCAGAAAGGGGGAGAAAGAACAGTAATTTTATTTAATGTGAGACAACTGTGTCAGTTAAAAAATATTTTCGTGATTCCACTTTGCAATCTGTGTTGGCATTAGCAACAGCTTTCTCTCTGCTGCAGTGTATGATGACAGTGAAGAGTGAGAGAGGGGGAGGTGGGCTTAAGATCTATTCGCTCGGGAGGACAGAGTTCAGTGCTTCTATGTCACCAAAGTTTCTATTTACACCGAATAAAAGTTGCTAGATCTTGTAACCCTGCTGTAATGCAAGGGATTGTGGGCAACTGCATCGCTCCGAGCGGTAGCTGAGAAAGTCAGTTGGTACTAGAGGTGGAACGGTTCACAAAATCCACGGTTCGGTTCGGTTTACGGTTTCGTGGTCACGGTTTTATCTGTTGATTGTTAGGAAAATCTATTATGTCTTGTATAGTAGAGCGCGTTTTGCACAATGCTTGCACACTGTTTTTATCCA